ATATATATATATATATATATATATATATATATAAGCCATGTAATATGAAAATAGATAAATTTATCGAAGAAGATACAAATAACATTGTACATAGGACAATGGCACTTTGTGACCTCACACAGTTCTCCCAGCGTTTATTTCACTGTTCAAAACACTTTGCAAAATCTTCGCCATCAGTCGTCATTTTTCTGAATCTCATCGATGGTCTGAAATGTCTTCCCTTTCAAAGGTGATTTTCAAAGGTGATCTTATGTCTCTGTTTTTCATATTATATGACTGGATACTTTCCGGACAGCCCTTGTATGAGTTCACTTAAAGTAAATATTTAAAAACACAAAAAATTCAATAATATAGAACATTTTAAAAATAATAAAAATGCACAAAATTTTCATATATACAGTGCAGATCAAAATTTGAGAACAACCTACAAGTTCCAAAATTTCAAGGTCACTGCTTAGTCCTATTTGTAGTTATCCTAACAGGAGTAAAAGTGCAGTTTTTAAGCATATTTCATGAGTTAAATATATTCTGAAGCACAGTATAAAAACTTAAATGAGATATTTGAAAAAGAACACTGATCAAAATTAGAGAACACTTTCAGATACCTCCCAGTTATTGGTGTTAATCTGGCACCTAGTGCTAATTTCCAGTTTTCACTGAATTTGCATGATGAGAGCCATTCTAAAGTGACTGAAACCCTCAGACAGCAGGTTGTCCAGATGAAGACTAATGGGATGACCCTTTCAGCCATAGCAAGAGAAGTTGGTCGTTCCAAATCTGTGATTTCTAGAATATTGCATCTTTACAATGTCACTAACTCATTCAAGTCCCCCAAAAAGGCTGGTCGTCCTCGTAAGACAAATACAAGAGAGGACAGGTTATTGCGGAGAATCTCAATGGGCAATCGGTTTAACACTGCAGCTGGAATTGCTCACCAGTTCAGCGCTGAACAGGGTAAGGATCTGTCTCGGCATATAGTGTCTCAACTTTTAAGAGAATTTGGACTGAAAGCCCACTCTGCAGTGGCCAAACCTCTGATCAGAAGAAAGATTGAAAAGGCTAGACTAAACTTTGCTGAGGAGCATGTTGTGTGGACAGAGTAGAACTGGTCCAAAGTTCACTTTAGTGATGAAAGCAAGTTTAATTTATTTGGGTCTGATGGGAAACATTTTATTCGCCTCAAACTGGGGAAAGACTGCACCCAAAATGTGTGAAGAAGTCAGTGAAAGGTGGAGGAGGAAGTGTCATGGTTTGGGGGATGTTTTCTGCAGCAGGAGTTGGGCCTCTTATACAGCTACATGGCAGGGTGAATGCAAATGTTTATCAGAATCTCCTGTGGCAACATGCGGTTTCTTCCCTGCATTCACTGCCCAATCAGCCAGCAATTTTCATGCAGGACAATGCCTCCTGTCACACAGCAAAATGGGTAAAGCAGTTCCTTGAAGCTGAAAACATTGAAATAATGAAATAGCCAGCCCAGAGTCCTGATCTAAACCCAACTGAAAATCCTTGGTGACAAAGTTATGGCTAAGAAACCCACTACAGTCACCAAACTATGGAAGAGACATGAATAAGAATAAGATCACACAAGAGCAGTGTGAGAAACTAGTGATGT